CTTGGTCGAAAATGCACGAGAAGAGCTTGGTCAAAAATGCAGACATGTTCTCATGCATTTTCGACCATACCTTTCTCCCGCATTTTCAACCAAGGCGTTCTCCTATATTTTCGACCATATCAAACTACTATACTATATTTCTGACCGCGGTCAGAGATTATGGACAATAGGGAGGAGTAGAAATACCATATCATATACATATTATACCGCTAGTAGGTCTGATAGGCCCCCCTCCCCCCTAGTGAGATTTATGACCACGTTCAGAAATTAGTCGGAAATACAGTAGAAGAGCTTAGTCAAAAATGCACGAGAAGCGTTTGGTCGAAAATGCACGAGAAGAGCTTGGTCGAAAATGCACGAGAAGAGCTTGGTCGAAAATGCACGAGAAGAGCTTGGTCGAAAATGCAGACATGTTCTCCCGCATTTTCGACTATACCCTTCTCCTGCATTTTCGACCATACTACACTTCTACCTTTTTGACAACACTAACCTCTTATTTTAATTAATAATATATCTTCTTAATAATTAAAACAGATAACCTAGCTATGATTTCTTACTTTAATTATAGATTCAGGGTCGAAATGTAGCAGTTTCCTATAGTTTAAGAAGTTGAAGGCCGATGGTCTAAAATGCACGAGAAGGCCTTGGTCGAAAATGCACGAGAAGAGCTTGGTCGAAAATGCAGACATGTTCTCCTGCATTTCCGACCATACCCTTCTCCCGCATTTTCGACCATATTATACTTACAACCATATATATAATATATCCTAATTAATACTCTTTTTTGCTGAATATTAAGGTCTTTCTATAGCTTCTGACCGCGGTCAGAGATTATCAACTAGATAGTAAGAAGGGGTCGAAGCACCATACTTATATATATATATATGTACATATGTATATATTATGCTACCATACTATATTTCTGACCGCGGTCAGAACATCTCGCTAGAAAGCACCTACTTAGTTAATACTACTAATCAAATTTATTTCTGACCGCGGTCAGAAAATCTAGCTAGAATGTACCACAGGGCGTATAGTATTCTACACTCTCTAATATCTTTATAGTAATATGTTATATGATATTCACAAATCTCACCTCGTATACTGAATTCCTAAGCTTCTATACTGATTCCTCTATAGTACTTATATCCATCGGGTCACTATCCTCCATGTCTTCAGCACTAGTAGCTAGGCCACTCACTTTAGTACTAGCGGGTTCCGTAATGCCAGGGGGATACTGGAACTCTGTATACTGGACACCGTCGGTGATGAACTCTGGGATTGTCGGCTGACCTAGCTCCCGCCGGTGGAAGTAGGAATCCTCCCCAAACGCCTGCTTCTCAGCCGCCACAAGGTTTTCAAACGCCTTCTGGTATAGCTGCTGGGCGTTGCGTCGCCAGCCCCGGATATAGCCCCACGCTGCCTCATCGCTCTCCCCAAATAAGATATCTAGCTCCCTCCGTACATCAACAGTATCCCACCGCGTTTGGCCAATAAGCGCATCTGACACTGCACCTAAGCGTCCTAGCCGCACAGTCGCAGGAAAGATATGATCCATCCGGCCACCGAACGCGCTATTTGGTAGACCAGACGGCGTCTTGGTACCCGAGTCAAAATCCCGATGGCAGCGTGAGAGGTCATCCCAGGTCCCCGACTCCGCTGTGTCGAGTGTCTGGTGATCCTCCCCGATCGCAACGAACCAAGGGAGGATATTCATCCGCTGCAAAGTCGCTGGGCCGGTAGACCCGTGAGGCAGGCTAGGTAAGCTTAGCCGCACATCCCCAAACCGGCAGATCTGCCTAGTCCAGCTATAGCCAAAGTAGGCCTCGTCGTCCTTTGTCCACATATCAGCGTCGATGCGCTGTACGTAGCCGTCCTTGGCGTACCCTCGGTCGACCAGCCGCTTGTGCCACGTGGCGATCTCGCGATGCATCCCTAGGAGTAACTCGGTGCAGTTGCTACTATCCTCGTCGGAGAGAGCGAGGCTACCCTGTAGCGTGTTCGCACCCCGCCCACTTCGTACAAAGTC